TCATTTGGATGACAGCTTGTATTTTTTCAGGATTTGCCTCGATTCCTCGGTTGTTTACAATGTAACCTAGGAATCTTCCAGAGCTAACCCCGAAAGCACATTTCATTGGGTTCAACTTCATTCCATACTTCCTTAGTTTATCAAACATCTCGGTCAGGTGCTAACAGTGATCTTTGGCCTTAATGTTTTTGACCAGCATAACGTCAACATAAACTTCCATTATTTTTCCACTCTGTTGGGAAAACATGAAATTCACTTGTCGTTGGTAGGTTGCACCAGCATTTTTGAAACCAAATGACATTACTCTGTAGCAGTAAAGACCTCGGTCAGTTACAAACGAGGTATGTTCTTGATCTGGGCCGTATATCGGTATCTGGTTATATCCGGAATACGCGTCCATGAAGCTGAGTAGTTCGTGTCCGGCAGTGGTGTCCACCATTTGATCTATTCTTGGCAAAGAAAAACTGTCTTTTGGGCATGCTTTGTTGAGGTCGGTGAAGTCTATGCATACCCTCCAATTTTCGTTGTGTTTTTCACAAGGATCGGATTTGCGGCCCACTTCGAGTATTTGGCCTCACGGAGGAAACCGTTATGCAACAGCTTTTTGTACCTTCTTGTTGAGTGTTCGTATCTTTCAGGGTTCAGAGGTCGTCGTTTTTGCTGTTTTGGCGGAACTGAAGGATCCACCTATAATTTGTGGCATGCGACGTTGGGGTCTATTCCTCTCATGTTCCCGTGATTCCAGGTGAAGACATCAAGGTTTTGTCTAAGGAAGGCCACAATTTCGTTTCGGGTGGATGGCTGCAGCTCGCGCCCGACTTTGAGCTCCTTTGTTGGGTTCTTGGCACATGCTTGAGCTCCTTCTAGTTCTTCGACGGGTTCTCCTCCTTCGATCCTGGTCTGCGGGTCTAGTGGAATGAGCTCGGATTCCCATACGTTTGTCTTATGCACTCTCGGGGAGTTGCGTTGATGGTTGGTACAGGTTTTCCTCATGGCGGTCATTTGAGGGTTCTGTCGTCGTGGAGAACTTGGTGGTGTATTCATTTCATAAGGGTGGGTATGAAATGAATTTCTGAAATTTGAGCTACGACTCATGACTCTTGGATTTTGTGGAGAGAATGATACTATTTTTCACAATTAGGGCCCTCCTTCTAGCGCCAAACTGTTGACGTCAAAATTAACAAGACTAATCTTAAACCAACTTTAAGAAAAAAAGAGCGATTTATTGTTGAAAAAAAGACCACAAAATATGTTTAGAGAGTGTAATTATGCCTTGAGTTGTTGTATGAAATCACTTGCCTTTTACAAGAGTCCTATTCAACTATTTATACATAATTTTAGCTGAAATTACATCAAATCAGTCAAATCAGTAACAGTGTCGAATTCGAAACTCGGGTCGTCGGATTCTCTTGTGATTGGTAGATGAAGCCGGTGGCCATGTGTCAATGTTTTTCCTAGGTAATGATGACCTGCAAGGGGCTGGAGGTTGAGGACTTAGAATTGGTTGTTCCGGACGGTGATAATGTCACCTGTGGCAAGTGTATCTGATTGATAGGGTGATGTGATAAGGGGTAATCATGATATTTTTCTGAGATAACGGCGGGTTTGTTCGACCTGGGAGTACGGGCCAAATTCACATTTAACTGAGGTAGGGTTAGCGAACTGTTTTTATTAGGTCGGATTTCGGATGTCATCAATTCTCTAACATGATTTATAGGACAAAACGAATTCCCTATTATAGCCTCCATATTTTTTAAATATAAATGCGTGAAAGAAATCCCACCTCGAATTCTTTGTATAAATATTTTGAAAGATCTACAAAAGAACTCATCATTAATTAAATTCCGGGCTTTATATATTTGGATGTGTAACTAAATGGATTTGAGATCTTTTTATTTTTAGTCCACTAGTAAAACTTTTGTATTAAATATCCAAACGCCCAATAAAATTTATAAGAGAAATTAATAAAAAGGCACAGACCGATGCTGTACAATTTCACTAGGGGAGGGGGTTTCAGGGCACATCAACTCGTCTCATCGTCATTCCTATATTATATTAATAATCATGACCCATTTAGCTGAAAATGCTAACTTAAAAATCTTACTTTTAATTTTAACAAGCGCACACAAATTGTGCAGAATAGTAAGCCTTGTGATTCAAATGTTATAAAATTGACAACAAAAATGCAAAGTTTCACAGATTGATTATTTTTTAACATCGAACAAATATAGAAGAAAGGTGATTTACAAGTCGTTAGTTGCAATCAACACCACTATGTTAAATATGGTGTACTAGTTAATGTCCTTTGTGTTCACGTTGAAATTTAACAATGACACGTAGAGTTTTATGCAAACGTTTCTAGTTGAGTGATTATTATAGTAATAATTAGAAACTCAAGGGAATATTGTCATAATAAAATTATTTGGATGATAATTTAAAGTGCTCGTTTTGCCCCTATTATTTGAAATTTTAATGGTTGGAATAATGTTATTTTTAAAGAATGTGTGGTTAAAAAAAAAAGAAAAAGTTTTGGAATTACATATAATATTATTTTATTGAAAAATATATGATTGTTAAAAAAAGAGAGAAAAATGAATTATAATTTTAATGAGGACGAAATATGAGTTAAATTTATTAATGAACTTCAGTGATTGTCATTGAATATACATTTGTTCTATATAGGGATGACAAAATATCCTATTTTTGAAGAATGTGTGGTTAAAAAAAAGAAAAAGTTTTGGAATTACATATAATATTTTTTTATTGAAAAATATATGACTGTTAAAAAAAGAGAAAAATGAATTATAATTTTAATGAGGACCAAATATGAGTTAAATTTGTTAATGAACTTCAGTGATTGTCATTGAATATACATCTGTTCTATATAGGGATGACAAAAAATATGTTCAACCCGATACCCATGGAGCCCGGGCCCGAATGGGGTAGGTAATACTGGCCTAACCAATTACATGGGATGGGTATGGGTATGGGGCAAGGGTCATTGTCCCAAAGCGGGTATGAGACGGGTACAGGAAATATAGTCTCCGCTCCGTTTAATATTAATTTCAAATTTAAGTTTTTATAAAAATAATAATAGATTTATCATCATTTTTAAAAAGAATATAAGTTGTTTTTAACAAATTGGTAAAAAAGTAATACTATTTACTAACTAATGACATAAAAAATAAAAGCAAAAAATAAAAAAGTAAAAAGAACAAATAAATGAGGCAGGAGACTTGCCCCACCCCGACCCGATTCCGCCTCGTCCCGCTTTAACAGGGTATATGTATGAAGTAAGATAACAAAAATACTCGACACGACGGGGATGGGAATGACGGACCCGTCCCATACATGCCCTGTTGCCATCTCTCGATCTATACTACCGCCGTCCATAAAAATATGCTTGATTATTTATTTATTTATTTTATTGTATGTTTAAAATTATAGGTCATTTTTCTTATTGGTAGTATATGTATTTTTTATTTTTTTAATATACATTGTCATCAATAAATATTAACTTATCCTATTTAAACTATTATTTAATGTATTAAGTATATTAGAAAAAATTTAAGAAAAATTATATTTAATGATAAATTGATATGAACCTTGCTGCATGTATATTTGATTTAAACTTTGTCATGTGTTATTATTCAATTGAACAATTTAAATTTTAAACAAATTTTTTTTTATTTAGGAGTCATTTGATTCTCATTTTTTGGCTATAAAAATAAAAAATATGATCGTTATTCATCATATCAAATCATCATATTTGACTTTTTATTTTTTATGTGGGTCCGCAACGATTATATTTTTCATTTTCATTCTTAGAAAGATGAGAATCTAACGACTCTTAATTGACATTTAACAATAATGCGAATGTCAATTAAAATGTAAAAAATTAGTATACTCCATTGACCATGGCAAAAACGGGATGAGGTCGTAGTTCTCTGGTAATTACATTGACATGAAATCACGGGACTCGAAGTAGATAAGAGTAGACAAGAGAGTGAAGCAGCACCTTAATCCAAGAATTCGAAACATGAAGGAGCTCACTCTACAACAATTTCTCGCCCTTCCAACAACGGAACCCACAAGATACCACACTCCAAATCCTCTGATACTCAACTCTTACTGCCATTGCCCCACTCTTTTCAAACTACCAAGAACAACCCACCTCCAGCTTCGAGCCAATTTGAATAGAACTAGGACAAACGAGAATTCATCTGACCATAGTAGTAAACGAGTAAAAATTCGAAGTGAAGTTCAAAATATGCAAGAATATGAAGAAGGAACTAGATTTAACATGGGGTTAGATGAGGATTACGAGGAGGAAGATGATACATCATCATCGTCAATGCTGTCTCTGAGCGATAAACCGGAGAGGAACATGTTATTGCTGGACGATTATGAGATGGAGGAGCTTGATTTCGTGCCAGTTGACCCGAATCACCGCAGTGGATATGTGGCAGTGCTGGGCAAGCCAAATGTTGGAAAAAGTACGCTTTCGAACCAAATGATAGGACAAAAGCTTTCTATTGTTACGGATAAGCCTCAAACCACTAGGCATCGTATTCTTGGTATATGCTCTGGCGCAGACTTTCAGGTTCTACATTTCAAATTATTTTATTTTATTATTATTATTTTTAGGCTTAATTTGCTTATATGTTTATGCAATTCGTTGTGTGTTTCTAATAGTGAAGTAATGACGATTAGTTTTCCGACTTGAGAACCTTGGCCCGTGCCAACTTTGATTTAGGATTTGTTTTATACCGTATCTTAATATCAGCCACTTGCTGTTTGTGAATATGTTTGAATGACAGCGAACAAAGTTTTTATGACATACAATCACAATCTTCGATAATATTATTGTTGTTCGATGATGCTTCTGTTGTGAGATGGCAATTGAAGTTGGTCATGTGATGTTATTTTGAACATCTGCTTTAATATTTGGTTATTCAATGACAGCAAATACTAAACAGATGGCAAGTTTCTTGGATATCGAATATGCATACATTAGGCAAACATGCTATAACCTATTGATGACGAATAAGGTATCTTTTTCGTTTATTTCATGAATTGATCACAAGATAATGACAATAATGAAATAAACAAACAAAAGACAAGAACGTCGAGATTTATGTGAAAACTCAAGATGAGAAAAAATCACAGGTAGGGGATGTTAATAACAAAATCTCAATACTCTCAATTAAAATCTAAAACTCTCAAGATGTTGTATGAATGTTATGACCTCAATGCAAATCATGGAGAATATATGCAAATCCTAAAATCCAAGTTGTAGATGAGAATAGGAGTCCAGCAAATGCGTTAAAACGTGAAATGAGCCTGGGCCGGATAAACACACCGCTTGAAAAAAAAAAAAAACTTAAGAATTGCTAATCCTTATTCAACAAGAGATCATAAGGGCTTATTATATGAAAGAGTAAGTTGTTTTATTCTATCCAAATCTTCAATAATGGATGACATGAAACTGCAACATCGTGATAAACTCCAAATTTCAACTCCATAAAACTCGAACAATTCTTGCTGCACTACTACATTCACATTGTCTCAATCTACATAATAACCAAATGAACGAGTTCACTAGACATGAAAAGAAATAATGATCTTAGAAAACAATGCTATTTCCACATCTTAACCCAAGGCACACCAGCCAGGCTTGTTACAACCACTTTGTAATTTATGAGGATGGAATAGCTACTCAAATGTCCTATTCCTCTCCGGATTTTTGGTCTCAATTACTTCCTGTGAGAAATATTAAGGTTCTAATCAAGTCATATTATTGGTTTGCTTTATAGATGATACTTTATGATACACCCGGTGTTATTGAGAAGAAAATGCACAAGTTAGACACCATGATGATGAAGAATGTCCGCAGTGCTTCCATTAATGCAGATTGTGCACTCATTGTTGTTGATGCATGTAAGCCACCTCAAAAGGTATGCTCCACTAAACATAATTATTTACGGAACTGTCTCCTTTAACTAATATCTCTCATCTGCTATCAGATTGATGAAGTGCTGGAAGAAGGTGTTGGAGACCTCAGAGATAAGTTACCTACCTTGCTGGTTTTAAACAAGAAGGACCTGATCAAACCTGGTGAAATTGCAAAGAAACTTGAGGTACTAAGCAATATCACCCACTATTTAGTGGCATAAATTAAGTTTGTATTTCTTAGATACATAATATGCTACTATTGCTCAAATGATTCTAGCATGAATTCTCTTCCCTTTTCTTTCTGCCAAAATCGCACTTGACATCTGAATAGATATTTTCCAACTCTCTTTTGTTATTCTGCTGATTAAAGGTTACACTTGTCCACTAAATTAGAAGACATGAAGCCATATTAAGATTTTTCTTATTCGAAAGATAATGCAATTCTACAGAGAAAATATAATATTGAATCGAAGGGTACGTGACCACAACCTCATATCACAATTATATGCATTCTGTGTGGTTTGCATCTTGCTTTTTTCTAAATTTTCTGATTGCACTATTTTCATGCCTCTGATCTCTGTACTGGAAGGTTGCTAAATTTTGAAGGGTGTCAATGTAACTTCTCAAATTTATTTATATACACATTTGTTGCAGTGGTATGAGAAATTTACTAATGTTGATGAGGTCATACCTGTGAGTGCCAAGTATGGTCATGGTGTAGATGATGTCAAGGAGTGGATTCTATCAAAACTTCCATGTGGACCAGCTTATTATTCTAAGGTGTTGTCTTTATCCCTCCTTTCTATGGTGATATCATATTCTTTTCCACTGGAAATAGAACATTATTAACAATATATTTCCGTTGCTTTATAACCATCATATTTATATCATTCTGTATTGTAAAAAATGTTGAAAGTCTGGTTGATGAGGATATCGGACGACGTTTACTTATTTTATTTAAACTTTATTTATTTTCTTGGACTATTATTTAAATTTGGACTTGTATGGGCTCGGGCCCAAGCTCGTTAGGGTTGCTTTACTATTTAAACCTATTTTGCATTGTAATTTTTAGTTGATGATAAATGAATAATTATTTTGGTGGCTTATGGCGCATCCCTCCCCTTCTTCTATCCCCTCCCTTAATTCCCCATTCTTTCTGAATCTTTCTTCTATTTCTATTAATCATCCTATTGGTGCTGCATCAAATTTGGTATCCGAACCTAAACTTGGGTAATCTTTCATCTCCAATCCAAAAATCTCTTCCTATTTCTTTTTGAAGAACTTGTGGAACAGCACAAACAAATAAACTTTTAGTATGAGCAGCCAAGTTATTATTTTTCTAGCTTCTTCATAGTTGTTCCAAAAAAAAAAATAATAATAAAATAAAATAAAATAAAATCGCGTTACTGTTCATGGGTACTATTCACACCCGAAAATTCATTTTTTTTTGTATTATCAGTTTCAAAAAAAAAAAATCTCATTTTTTCCCTGCTGCTGCTGCTCATAAATAAAAAAAAGTAATTGTGGTGTTGTTCCACAAATCCCAAACCCTAGCATTCAAGCCTACTTAGCCCTTCAGCCCATATATTCCATCTCTATAACCTACTCTATTCATTTTTTTATCAAAACACTTGGATCATAAGCTAGTGGCCCAAATTACTCCCAAAGCCCACTAAACGCACAACCCATCTCTCATCATCTATTTAGCCAATCCACTTGCTTTCCAGCCCAATAAACACTAAATCCAACCCACTTATCACATATTATCACAATCGGCCCAATACCATTCAACCCATAATCAGTCCCAAATATCCAACCAAGCCCGATTATAACCAATCCATTAACATCAAATACAATAATGAAATAAACAAACAAAAGACAAGAACGTCGAGATTTATGTGAAAACTCAAGATGAGAAAAAATCACAGGTAGGGGATGAGAAATTCATTATAATCAATAATGAATGACCAAGCCCGATTATAACCAATCCATTAACATCAAATACCCTACAGTTTCACCCGATTTCTCGCTCACGACCACTCTCTTGCCACTGCCGCCTTTAATCACCGTCACGCTAAATCTCAATACTCTCAATTAAAATCTAAAACTCTCAAGATGTTGTATGAATGTTATGACCTCAATGCAAATCATGGAGAATATATGCAAATCCTAAAATCCAAGTTGTAGATGAGAATAGGAGTCCAGCAAATGCGTTAAAACGTGAAATGAGCCTGGGCCGGATAAACACACCGCTTGGGCGCCAGGCGAGCAGCAGCCTGACACTCAATCACTGGAAATTGCATTTACTTTCTTCTCCATCCATAATTTTATCTCTTCAATACCACGTCAATCAAAACTATAATACCCACTATAATTTGGGTCGAACTACAACAATTTAATTGAGTCTAACTTCATCTCTTATTGCTATGGCGGATGAATAAACAGCGCACTTGTTTTAATTTTGATGGATGAATAAACAGTACACTTGTACAGGTATATGCTATTGAGGAACTACTGAATCTCTTCTTGCCATTATCCTTTAATATTTTATAGAGGTATACCTTACTAAGGCTATTATATTGGGTTAGCGTTCAATTTCTAGCTCTGGTTTTTGTTGCTTATACAATTGCAATTCGCATTTTTATAGTAACTTTGTAACAGAGACAATGGAAGCACAATTGTTTTATAATATCTAATAACAATATTTGATTTTTTTTTTTTTATTTATAATTGATTTGAAGGTGTGTTATATCACCAATCAGATATAACTGCTACTCGTGAGGAGAGAAAGACCCTAGCTGCTAAGTTGAGCAATTTTAAGCGAACCCCTCGTTTGATTGACACTAATTCTGAAGCATCTCATAATAGACAATATCATCGTGGACAAAGTGATCAAGAATATTTTCGATGTGATCGTAGGAATAGGGATCAGGTTCGTGAGCGAGAACAAGGCCATGATCATTATAGGACTCATTCACTTCCTCGTCGTAAGGAGTGTTTCTTTAGAGACATTGACTTAGATATTCCTACTTTCGATGGTTGCTTAGATCATGAAATTTTTACCCAATAGAACACCCTTACACAAGAGAATCGGCTAGTAACTGAGTACATTGCTCAATTTGAGGAATTTCGAGTGAAATGTCATGTCGTTGAGGATGAGACCCTGACTTTAAGTAGGTTTATACAAGGTCTACGAAATGAACTTAGGCATGAGCTTTTCTTTCGAGGCATCACTACTCTTGATCAAGCTTACTCTTTAGCTCGGGACTACGAGTTACTTATTAGTACTGCATATAAAAAACGTGATCATCATCGTTCACCCATTTCATTAGCGTCATCTCATCATAAGTCTATCATAGAGCCTTCCCAGTCTAGTGTTCCTTCCCTTTGGAAAAAACAAGTGTAAAGGTCGTGATAGCCCAAGGTCGTTTCTTCATGTAGAAAGCGTAATGACAATCATCTTTCGATTTCATTGGCTCCACTTCCTCCTGTTAAGTCCCTTCTAGGACCTCTCCCGTCTAATGGTCCTCCAATTTTGGAAAATAAGGGTATAATTTGTGAAACTCCAAAGACTTCTCACTTGCTATGCATCAGGTGTAAGGACTTTGGCCACATTTCTTCCAAATGTCCTAACCGGGTCTTAGTCATAGAAGAACGAAAGAATGCAATAAAAGAGTCGTTAGAAGATCTAGCATATGGCCCTAAACTTGAAGATTTTGATGATTATAGTGAGGACACTTTCTTAAGTGGAATCTTGACCCTTCCCGAGATTTTAGAAACTATACCCCTTGTTTCCGACAACTCTAGATCACATGTTATATGTCATACCTTTACCCAACTTAAAGAGTTTGATGATTTCACTAGTCACCCTTGGAGAATTCAGTCGCTTGTTCTTAGCACTAAATTGAAATTCTCCACTACTGACCAACCTCAAATTGATGGTCAAAACAAAATTGCTAACTGAAGTCTTGGCTATTAGAGTTTCTAGTCCAGAAAAATCTTAAGAATTGGGACTCGATCCCCCCAACTGTTCACATCGCATATAACAATTCTATGAATTGGTCTCTAGGTCTAAATCCATTTGAAGTTGTTCATAGTTATAAGTCTAAGCGACCATTAGATCTTATTCCCATGTCCCCGCATGCTAATGTGTCGTTGTCAGCTGAAGCATTTGTATATCATCTTCATGACTTGCATATTGAGATCAATAAACAACATGACACAAGTAATGTATTATATAAATTTCAAGCTGATTCGCATAAACGATATTTAAAATTTAATATTGGGAATTATGTCATATTGCAAGCTTGTAGTGCTGGTTCTTTAAAAATTTTAAAGCATGTTGGTTCAAATGCACGTCATTGCCCTTTCATCACATTTTAACCACCACTCTGCTTTAAATATTGAGGACTTCATTACTTACAAATATCGTATTACTTCTTTTGATGATCCATTTCTACCTAATTTTGTGGACCCCCAATTTGACTATATTGATATTTCTACTTTAATACCATCTATCACAGCACATAAAGATAAAATTGATATTATTTTAGATGAACGTGTTGTATTGATCAATGATGGCAAAATTTAGTACTTCCTTGTTTGTTGGGTAGATCGACATACTTCTTATGCTTCTCATTATGTACAATCATGTGAAAATTTTGAAGATAAGGTGCATGAGTATTGGTCATTTGAAGTCCAGTATCAGTACTTGGTTAGAAGGAAAGATCGCCCCCCTTGGTCAGATCATATTCTTGGGAATAAGCTACAGTTTTCAGTACTATCAATTATGGAATTTCGTTACTTGGTTTGTCAGAAAGATTGTCCCTCGTGGCTTGACTTGAAGCATTTGGAGTATCAGATTGATTGTAGCCTATATTATCTATCAACTCGATAGGGTCGAGTTTTTCTCCTACCCCGGGAGAGTTGATGAGGACATCGGACGACGGTTACTTATTTTATTTAAGTTTTATTTATTTTTTTGGACTATTATTTAAATTTGGACTTGTATGGGCTCGGGTCCAAGCTCGTTAGGATTGCTTTACTATTTAAACCTATTTTGCATTGTAATTTTCAGTTGATGATGAATGAATAATTATTTTGGTGGCTTATGGCGTATCCCTCCCCTTCTTCTATTGAATTCTTCTTCTATCCCCTCCCTTAATTCTCCATTCTTTCTGAATCTTTTTTCTATTTTTATTAATTATCATATTGGTGCTGCATCACTGGTACCTTTTAATTTGTTCTTTTTGTATCTTTTTGTACTAGTTGAAGTCAGCTATTACACGGTCTGGAATGATTGAGATAAAAAAATTTCAATTAAATGCTTTCAAAAGCTACATAGAAACTGCATCTGATGTTGAAGAACATAGAAACTTCTCTAAAGTTTGTAAATTAACGATTAGGTCAATTATATTTTTTTGGTTACGAGCATATAACTCTATCTGAATGTGGACGTGTCTGTAGGGTCTTGCATTTTACTCATTTCTCATTCCCTTTAAAATATATGTCGCCTTATATCCTCATTTCTTATTTCTTTTCCCGCTCATATTTATTCTTCCATATATTTGTACATACTCATTGGGAAGGTAATGTCTGACATCTTAAATCTAAAATCTATTGTACAATCTGTTATCAGGATATTACTAGTGAGCACCCTGAAAGATTTTTTGTGGCTGAGATTGTTAGAGAGAAGATCTTTATGCAGTACCGTGATGAAGTCCCCTATGCTTGTCAGGTAAATATATCTTTTGAATTTAAAAGTCTCAAGATTCTTGTGAGTCACAAGTCGTACTTAACTTTTTACTGGTCCTTTTCTTAGTTCTCTTCTTCTGTTTTTGGTAAAATTTTTTGGAAGCTCTCTCAATTGAAAGATGATGGTCGTTCGCTTCTACAGGTTAATGTAGTTAGCTATAAAACTAGACCAAATGCAAAAGATTTCATTCAAGTTGAGATTGTTGTAGAGAAGAATTCACAAAAGATCATACTCATCGGAAAGGTATTGACATTTACGTTTCTTTTATCAGTGCTTTCTATTGTTCCTTTTTTGCCCTTCACTGCAGTCGTCTCTTTTTGTATCTTATTCTGTAAATTTCCTTAAGATGGAGGTGTGGTAAATGCTTGGCCAGGTTTTCGTCCTTGATAAGTTGAGAGTCCAATAGGTTGAACAGTAATCGCGGGGAAGAGTAGTTATCCCAGGAGGTAGATGATAAAACCATAAAATATTTTATTGCTTAAATTTTAGTAACCCCATTCAAATATCCTCTTCCTCTCGACCGGATCTCCCTCCTCTTCCAGTCCACATTGTTCAACTTAGTCTCTTTATTATGTGGGAAGGAAGCTTAATGGCAAGCAATCGTTCATAGTGCTTAGTTGATACTCAATCACTATTTTTATGCTCTAATTGCTGGCTTTTCTCACTGTACATAATATTTTCTATGAATTGATCTTCGAATCCTCCCCTCCCCCAACCTGGACTGAGGACAGTCACATGCATCTGAGGGTGAATCTGACAGCACTCTAAAGTCACTTTACATTCTCTCAAACTTATCCACCATGAGATCTCAAGGAAATGAAGATAATCTCCAGCCAGTTGGATTTTTGATATTATTGTATTATCTCTGCTTTTGGAAATTATTTACAGCATTTCCCTGAACAAAAAGAACATCACATGATTAGTTTACTAGGGTTATGAATTGACCGGTCACCAGAGAGGGCAGGGGAGGGGCAAGGGCTGCAGGGACTGGACATGCGTGTAAGGGTGGGAGAAGATTAGTTCTCTCTCTCTTAAATTTGTTTAATTAAAACTCTCATCACCGAATATCCCTTATCGTATACAAGCGATGTAAGATTTAACAGCATTTTGGACGAAACTGTTGCCAGGGAGATTTACTTGCTGCAAAAATTGAAGTTTGGGACTCATTTACCAAGTAGATTTGATGGTTGACCTAAGTGAACATAGATACCATAGATATAATTTTCCCATAATTTTACACTTGCCAATACAATTTTAATATTTGTTAATGCTTATGTAAACATAATTTTCAACAAAAAAAATATTTGGATGACTTGACTGAACCAACTCCAGCCGACAAGTTCAGATTACATATGTACTCGAGGGTAACCATCAATAACATGGCTGCAGGATGCTTTAGATCATGGCAGGTGGGCACCAGGTCATCGAAGGCTCATTTGCTGGTTGCAACCATAGACGATAATTTTCTTCAAAGCTTTGTAGTGAAATGGTTGGGAATTTGGCATGACACCTACCACTTTTATAATTTAGAACTATATATTGCAAGAATGAGAAGGTCTGACTATAAAAATAATTAATATCGGGAGAGACTATGGCCTCTATGAGGTATTGGTATGCATATGGAAGCATAGGCCTTGTAATTTGCCACATCAAAAATGTTTTAAACTTAAAAGTACAATCTATAAGTAAGTAAATGGATTGATAAAAACACCTGGTATTGTTATTTATTGGCTGCAGAAATTTAGAGATCTCTATACTATTTTTTGGAAGTTAAAGTTCCTTTTTTGTATCAGAGATATTGCACTAGTTCCTGTTTTACCGTTTGCGTCATTTGCCTGCATTTTTTTTTTGTTGGTGTCAATACTTCTCCTTTTCAATTAATGCTTGCATGATCTTGGGCAAAACATTGCTTGTAGCTGAGCTTTTCGTTGGTAAAGAATTAAATTCTGTTAGCAATGATACGGAGAGATATTACAGATTATACGAGTGCAATTTCATATTTTCCGAATTACTATCAGGAAGGAAAAGCTTTGAAGCTACTTGCAACAGCTGCGAGGCTTGACATAGAAGATTTCTTGCAAAAGAAAGTTTTTCTTGAGGTAATATAGTTGAGTGATCTTAGCATGTTAGGTAATCTTAAGAAGTTTAGTTACAAGTAAATAGTTTGGTTTTAAAACAACTATTTCTTTTATGGGCTGAAGTGATTTTGACAATAAACTAAGAGTTACTTTCAAAATAAGTAGTTTCTTTTCTTTTCTTTTCTTTGTTTTTGTTAAAATAAGTAGTTTCTTTTCTTTTCTTTTCTTTTCTTTGTTTTTGTTGACTTAAAAGTAAGAAAAAAGTAACATATTATGGGCTGAAGTGATTTTGACAATAAACTAAGAGTTACTTTCAAAATAAGTAGTTTCTTTTCTTTTCTTTTCTTTGTTTTTGTTGACTTAAAAGTAAGAAAAAAGTAACATATGGAAATAGGTTTCGATACAAGAGTACTTTTACTTATTTTCATGCTTAGTCAAAACATGCTTGTCTGAAACATTACACTTGCACAGACAGATCTATTTACCTCTGAATTTTTGGTTGAGTTATTGACCATTGGACACTGAATTCTCTAATCTAGTTTTAGTGGAAAAAATAGTTTTCAATAACCTTGCTCATTGAACAGGCTGAAGTGAAGGTAAAAGAGAACTGGAGGCAAAATGAAGGGCTTTTGAAGCACTATGGCTATGGGGGCCAAATTCAAGCTTTATGATGCAGAATGCGATGCAGTGAAGAATTATGATTGACCAATCACTAACGAGGGCAATAGCCTCGAGTAATTACATGACGACATTTCCGTAAGTGGTTGATCTAGTTGAGAAACTGGATTCTTGAACGATAAGATCCCACAACGTCCTCAAAGGAATTGTGGTCAATGCCTCAGTTTTCCAGCCTTCTGATTTAAGCAATTTCTTGAGAAAATGGTCTCAAGTCGAGTACTTTTAGCTGTTAATCTTGATATATATCCAATTGAGTGAATTGTAGATTTCAACGAAGGTTGGTGGTAGGAGTTCAAGAACATCTTAGGTCCCAGTGTCTGTAAAACTTGCTGAATCCTATATTTTGTACATTGGCAAAATATGGACAATCTTACTAATATATCAAAAGCTTTTAGAGTTGGTTCCACTTGGTATCTAAGTGACAAATAGGTTTAGTTTGCCTGCTATCTGATTATGAAAATCGTGTTTTACGGTTTTTAATTGAAAATAAATTTAGTTAGCATGTGAAGAGATGTGTTGAAGATAAAATTTCAATAAATAAATTTTATTGTCAACCTAATGTGAATATTGTGTCACAAATTGTTCTTCTTAATTTGTGCACAAAAGAATAAGAAAAAGTAAAATTGCATTTGATAAATTGCAACAAATGATGTACTGAAGGTTAAATTTACTGTAGATTACCCAACTTTGAGTTGAGGTGCATCAAGATCACACTCGTCTTCAATTTGGTACAATTAGATCATTCAACTTCTATTTGCTTACGAATTTAGCCACCCAATCTTCACTATGGAATAATATAACTCACCCAACTTTGATTTACTAGCAAAATCTCGTCATTCTATGAATTGTCCCGTCAATTTAATTAATGTAATATACTCATCTAGACATTAAACTATCATATCACTACCGTTTATGTCTTTGTTACATTGAAATGCAAATTGCCCATATTAAGATATTTTTTCTTAAAAAAACCTTGAAAACTAAAAGAACATTTTACCTTTCAATTATTCATTATATTTAATGTCGATGTGAGCATATTACATTAGTTAAATTGGCAATAGCGAAAAAAGCGATCAGATCTGTAAGCAAGTAGAAGTTGAGTGATTTGATTGCACCACTTGAAGATGAGTGAGCATATTTACAAGTAAATTGAGTGACTCGATTCACCAAATTAAAAATGAGTTATCTGGATGCATCTCCACTCAAAGTTGGGCGACTTTTAGAGCATTTAACCCCATGTAGTACAATGGACTAATGTGATTTGAAATAATAACTCACAAATTTCATTTTATGTATCTCTATCAATCTTGCCCAGTTCTTTTCAAGAACGTGTCCACTACAATATATTAGACTTTAAACTTGTGTAATTCTTCTGAGTTAATATTTGAATAAAATTCACAAGTCGTTAATGAAAAAATTTAAGTTCTAAGCAATCTATTTAATTAGAAAAACCTTTTTTTTTTTTTTTAATATGCAAAAGGGAACTCAAAAACTTGTGCAAAATATTGTTTCATCTCATAATAGAAATATCTGTACATCCACAGTCTACAATCAATAAACATATATAGAAAGCAACGTTTAAAAGATTGAAATTGGGTATTAGCGGAATAAAATATTATTAAGCAAGAAAGACACGTAAAATATTTATCCGTTATTTTGTTTGTATTAAAAATTCTGAAGGTGTCACTATGCAAAACATAGGAAGGCCGCAGCAGAATCGAACATACAGAATGTGCCAATGTACAGTGATTGATTATTTATTTTTTTTTTAAATTTTATTTTACGTATATTTTAAATTGACAATTCATTCTTGCACATTGTTAATATATATACAATACATACATGGTATTGGTTTTGATAAGTTTTTGGACACACAGCAATTTTTTTGTCATTAAAATCAATTTTTAATATGTTTTGATAACAGTTGATGAAATGTATAGTTAAAAAGTTGTGAATTTCATAAAATATATACTTAAAATTAATTATTAGCTTTGATTTAAATTAAAATCTAAATTTTAATTCCAGGAACTAAACAGCAAAACAATGAATGTATATTTATATTATCCAATATAAATAAGAATATCCAAATCTCATATGCTCATACGACATGTCATAGATAGCTAAATACAAATAATAAGAAGAAGAAGGATTACCATTTTCATTGGGGAGTAATAAGTCGGTTTTCAAATTTACGTTTTTTAGTAGCATTATTTCAATCTTTTGAGTTTGCGAGTTTATTTGATGGACATATTTTTATCTATTTTACTTATAGTAATCCACGTAAACCTCAATTGTTATAAAACATTTGAGACAATTGAAGAGACTAGCATGAGATTTCTCTTTAAAACTCTTCCTCTTGGTCTCGAAATCACAATTTATTTGCACTGATTCTAATAGTATACATTTGAGTTATATAAGGTAAAAAAACAGTTAAAAAAAATCACTTTTTAAACACGACAAATCTTGTTATAAAGGAAAACGACAAATAATCAATGTCACTAATTTTCATAGTATTCGTTGTTTTGGATCTTTCATTCGTTTCCGAAGCTAACTGGGGCCAACTTTGTAATATCGAAATGATCAAAAATAAAAATAAAGTTTAGGCACGATTAAACGATCGTTGAGGGGCCATTGGCAATAAAAGTCCAGCTAATAATGTTAGTTTCGAAAACTTACAAAAATAGGGTTCCACATCCAGACAACTAAGCTTAACAATGACTGGATAATATCCGTAGATTTCAACGTGCAGCTACTTCAATCTATGGCCCTTTTTTTAGTGTTATTTATTTATATACATATTAAAAACAAAAAAAGAAAAAGAAAAAGAAAAACTATTTGTGGTTTGGACATCATGGTATACTTGACATTCCAGCAGTTCAGTGACGTGCTTCCATTATCGGGACCCACTAATTAAATCTAATTATTATATATTCATACTCAGTGCCCATGTTTTTAATTCAATGAAAAATTAAGTGGTAAATAAAAATTACAGAGAGAGAGAGAGAGAGCCAGAGCTTTAATGGAATGACTGTGCAATTTCCTTTTTCCTTTGTTTGGAGGATGGGGGCTTTTATGAGTTGTTGATGTTGAAAAGGAGTTGTTATTTCGTTTTCCCTGTGACCCATTTATCTTTCCATCCCTTCCAGACAGGTGGTGGTGCCGGCGGTGGCGGTAGTTTGAGTTATTTAGATTGGAAGGAGATAAGAATGGAGGACTTCAGATTTGTGCATCCGATCTGATAATAATTTTCTCCGATTGCTGCGTTTTGAAGGTTGATCTGTATCTGAAGGTTAGTGTAAATGCATTCCATTTTCGTTTAATTAGGTTTTTGAAGTGGATATACATTTTGGGTTTGCAGTATTTGTTAGTTTTAATATTGAAACCATGAGCTGAGGAAATCTGATTCTTAGAAGAACACGGTGTTAATCATGTTGAGTTGGGTGATTAGATGTATTGCAAATTAGTCATTTCTTTATGCTATATTTATCAGTATGTTGAAGAATGTCAGCGTTACTTGGGAAGTTGCTGGGGATTGTAATATTTTGATTGAAATTTTTTGTTGTGGATCTGGATTTGCATCTGATTTGGCTCAAACACAGTTTCACTTTTATATTTCCCTGGAGATTTTTGACGGGTGTTCTGTTTATGCTTCGGTGTTTCTCCATTTTTATTTATTTATTATTATTATTATTTTTAAGTAAAGGGTAAGCTTGGTTGGAATCAACTGAGATGTCGTTCAAGGGCATAGTTCGTGAATTAAAGGAGATAAAAGATGGAACAGGAAGTACCTCAAAAAAAGGGGTTGAGGGGAAGCGTTGGCTCAGCAGGAACAGGTCCCATATAGCCCCTGATGTAGCCCTGTTTAAGCCAATTCAGCAAGGGAATTGGGCAAATTTACCACCAGAATTGCTTTTGGACATAATCCGGAGGGTTGAAGAGAGTGAGAGTTCTTGGCCTGCTAGGACAGTAGTTGTCTTTTGTGCATCAGTTTGTAAGTCGTGGAGGGATGTTACTAAGGAAATTGTCAAGACTCCAGAGGAATGTGGGAGGCTCACTTTCCCCATATCATTGAAGCAGGTAGGTTTTGTACATGAGAGTTCAGCTCTTATGTCTTGCGTTTTAGGTTTTGATAAATAATATCTTCTGTAACCTTATTTTGTTTCATTTGTGATTTTGCTAGCCGGGGCCCCGAGATGAACCAATTCAATGCTTTATTAAGCGGGATAGATCAACTTCCACATACCGCTTGTACTTTGGTCTGACCCCATGTACGGCATTTTATTCATTTACCCATTTACTTCCTCTTCTCAGTTTCCATGTTTTCATATCGAAAAATGAAAAAGGATCTTTGGTCCATTGGGGAGTAATAAGTCGGTTTTCAAATTTACGTTTTTTAGTAGCATTATTTCAATCTTTTGAGTTTGCGAGTTTATTTGATGGACATATTTTTATCTATTTTACTTATAGTAATCCACGTAAACCTCAATTGTTATAAAACATTTGAGACAATTGAAGAGACTAGCATGAGATTTCTCTTTAAAACTCTTCCTCTTGGTCTCGAAATCACAATTTATTTGCACTAATTCTAATAGTATACATTTGTGTTATATAAGGTAAAAAAACAGTTAAAAAAAATCACTTTTTAAACACGACAAATCTTGTTATAAAGGAAAACGACAAATAATCAATGTCACTAATTTTCATAGTATTCGTTGTTTCGGATCTTTCATTCGTTTCCGAAGCTAACTGGGGCCAACTTTGTAATATCGAAATGATCAAAAATAAAAATAAAGTTTAGGCACGATTATACGATCGTTGAGGGGCCATTGGCAATAAAAGTCCAGCTAACAATGTTAGTTTCGAAAACTTACAAAAATAGGGTTCCACATCCAGACAACTAAGCTTAACAATGACTGGATAATATCCGTAGATTTCAACGTGCAGCTACTTCAATCTATGGCCCTTTTTTTAGTGTTATTTATTTATTTACATATTAAAAACAAAAAAAGAAAAAGAAAAACTATTTGTGGTTTGGACATCATGGTATACTTGACATTCCAGCAGTTCAGTGACGTGCTTCCATTATCGGGACCCACTAATTAAATCTAATTATTATATACTCATACTCAGTGCCCATGTTTTTAATTCAATGAAAAATTAAGTGGTAAATAAAAATTACAGAGAGAGAGAGAGAGAGCCAGAGCTTTAATGGAATGACTGTGCAATTTCCTTTTTCCTTTGTTTGGAGGATGGGGGCTTTTATGAGTTGTTGATGTTGAAAAGGAGTTGTTATTTCGTTTTCCCTGTGACCCATTTATCTTTCCATCCCTTCCAGACAGGTGGTGGTGCCGGCGGTGGCGGTAGTTTGAGTTATTTAGATTGGAAGGAGATAAGAATGGAGGACTTCAGATTTGTGCATCCGATCTGATAATAATTTTCTCCGATTGCTGCGTTTTGAAGGTTGATCCGTATCTGAAGGTTAGTGTAAATGCATTCCATTTTCGTTTAATTAGGTTTTTGAAGTGGATATACATTTTGGGTTTGCAGTATTTGTTAGTTTTAATATTGAAACCATGAGCTGAGGAAATCTGATTCTTAGAAGAACACGGTGTTAATCATGTTGAGTTGGGTGATCTGTATTACAAATTAGTCATTTCTTTATGCTATATTTATCAGTATGTTGAAGAATGTCAGCGTTACTTTGGAAGTTGCGGGGGATTGTAATATTTTGATTGAAATTTTTTGTTGTGGATCTGGATTTGCATCTGATTTGGCTCAAACACAGTTTCACTTTTATATTTCTCTGGGGATTTTTGACGGGTGTTCTGTTTATGCTCCGACGTCTCTCCATTTTTTTTTATTTTTTATTTTTATTTTAAGTAAAGGGTAAGCTTGGTTGGAATCAACTGAGATGTCGTTCAAGGGCATAGTTCGTGAGTTAAAGGAGATAAAAGATGGAACAGGAAGTACCTCAAAAAAAGGGGTTGAGGGGAAGCGTTGGCTCAGCAGGAACAGGTCCCATATAGCCCCTGATGTGGCCCTGTTTAAGCCAATTCAGCAAGGGAATTGGGCAAATTTACCACCAGAATTGCTTTTGGACATAATCCGGAGGGTTGAAGAGAGTGAGAGTTCTTGGCCTGCTAGGACAGTAGTTGTCTTTTGTGCATCAGTTTGTAAGTCGTGGAGGGATGTTACTAAGGAAATTGTCAAGACTCCAGAGGAATGTGGGAGGCTCACTTTCCCCATATCATTGAAGCAGGTAGGTTTTGTACATGAGAGTTCAGCTCTTATGTCTTGCGTTTTAGGTTTTGATAAATAATATCTTCTGTAACCTTATTTTGTTTCATTTGTGATTTTGCTAGCCGGGGCCCCGAGACGAACCAATTCAATGCTTTATTAAGCGGGATAGATCAACTTCCACATACCGCTTGTACTTTGGTCTGACCCCATGTACGGCATTTTATTCATTTACCCATTTACTTCCTCTTCTCAGTTTCCATGTTTTCATATCGAAAAATGAAAAAGGATCTTTGGTCCCTTCTTTGTAAGTGCTTGCCAATGGATTAGGTACTAAGTACAAACTATGGTTGGATTTACATATTACAAACTGGTGCATTATTGTTCAAATGATTGCTTCTGCGGTTTTAAATCAAAACTTCTTGTTGAATTATTAGAGGGCTCCTTTTTTTCTAGGTAACTGAAGTTTTGACTGATGTCTTCCTTGCAATGTTAGTGTAGAAAAAAACATGTTTGTCTAAAATGCATTTGTTGTGCTGTATGTAAGAGTGGAGATGTGTGCTTTACCAAATGAAAATACAGAAATTCAATCTTCAAAAACTCACGATGCATTACATAAATTAGAATGGGAATTCATTAGCCATTACTCTGCGGTTTTAAATCAAAACTTCTTGTTGAATTATTAGAGGGCTCCTTTTTTTCTAGGTAACTGAAGTTTTGACTGATGTCTTTCTTGCAATGTTAGTGTAGAAAAAAACATGTTTGTCTAAAATGCATTTTTTGTGCTGTATGTAAGAGTGGAGATGTGTGCTTTACCAAATGAAAATACAGAAATTCAATCTTCAAAAACTCACGATGCATTACATGAATTAGAATGGGAATTCATTAGCCATTATAAGGCATGTAACTAATTATATTTCCTAATCGCAGCTGAGGAGAGTGATAAACTATTATTGGCAGCCAAAAAGATTAGAAGGGCAACGAGCACGGACTTTGTGGTATCTTTAGTTGCAGATGATTTTTCTCGAGCCAGCAATACATATGTTGGAAGACTAAGGCAAATCTCGCATAATACTTTGGTAGATTGATATATTTTTGAAATATTTTGTTCTAACTACATTGAAAATGTCTCAATCAGGTCTAACTTTCTGGGGACAAAGTTCACCATATATGACTGTGAACCTCCGAATGATGCTGCAGTGCACCATAATAGTCGGTCGAGTCGAAGGTTCAACACGAGGCAAGTATCTCCAAGATTACCTGCTTATAACTACAGTGTAGCCACTATTTCCTACGAACTCAATGTTCTCCGCACAAGAGGTCCTAGGAGAATGAATTGTGTCATGAGTTCAATTCCGGTCTCTTCAATTCAGGAGGGAGGCACTGCCCCGACACCAACATCATTTCCACAATGTTATGATGACAAATCGTCTTCCCTACGGATTTCAGAAGGAAAGGACTTGGCCTTAAATTTCAGCTCCCGAAAACTTTCAAGTTCATCATTAACGCCACCACTTTCTGGAGAGCCACTAGTTCTAAAAAACAAAGCTCCTAGATGGCATGAACAATTGCAGTGCTGGTGCCTGAATTTCAAGGGCCGTGTTACAGTAGCTTCTGTTAAAAATTTCCAGCTTGTGGCTAATGTTTATCCATCTCTCAACATATCAGCTGCAGAACAAGAAAAGGTAATTTTACAGTTTGGAAAGATCGGAAAAGACATTTTCACCATGGATTATCGCTACCCTCTCACTGCCTTTCAAGCCTTTTCAATCTGCTTGAGCAGCTTCGACTCAAAACCAGCATGTGAATAATCTTCACATGCGTCACATAGATTATGCTCGTCTTTCATTTAATCTCTTCTATAGCGGCTAAATCTGATTCCTCGCTGTACATAAAGTTAACATTCGACATTGTATTGTATCTGGGAACCTATGCGGGTGCCAGTTTATCTATTTGCAGCTCACATAAAAACGTGCTTTGGAAGTTCCAGCCGTTAATTTACTGTATTTTGGAAGACCTTGATGTTAATCAACATGTCAGTTTCCATATACAATATCGTAAAAGCAGTTGTATATCATTCCATTTTATGCATTTTGATTTCTTTAAGTTTGATGATCGCTTGCTTATTTCGAAATAAATTGCTGAGAACAGGTTAAATATTTAACCTCGTAGCTTGAATAGCACGTGCTTATGAATGTACATGTATAATCGGTTTCCTTGAATTCATGTACAGTTTCAGTTTCGATATAGTTGTTTCTAGAACTCTTTCGCAATGTTAAATTACAAAATGAATGCATCCGCACTGCGATTATGTCCTTTACATACATTTCATGGTAGTCATATGTACAGAATTTTTTTCCTACATATAAATGGTAGAGGATGTAACTTTCAAGACAGGTTAATGGTTCACTGGAATTTTAGGTTTTATCATGGAAGAACATTAGTTTCTGGCCAACCTAAGTTAAAGTTGGAGTCAATTAGCTCAAGCTACCCCTAACGGAAAAATAGAGTTTGGACCAACCATTCACAGAATCTGGGTCAGGCCAAAAGATTGAGCTCAGCTAATGAATGGTGTCGAGCTTGGCAATACCAATCTCACATAACTGTGTCCAACTAGCATTAGTGTGGTCCATGTGAAAAGGAAAAAAGACTTTCACGCTCTTCTTGTTAGGTAGGGAGGATTAAGAATATCCTATTGATTAAAGCTTCTCACACCTCCTAAAAAAAAGCATGAAAAAAGGACTCGAATCATATGATTCCTTAGTCACCCAAAATGAAATGGGCGATCTGTGATTCTTAATGTGTAAAGATGCGTTGTTAGGTTCTCATTTCCTTTTCCATTGAGATCGAACCTAAATTTATGCTCGACGGATAACTGTCCACACAATAATAAAGAATTCACAGATTCTCAAAAAAAGAGCAATATGGTGGTACCTAGACAGTCCAGATCCCTTGAGTGAAAGTCGGGTATATGTTGTCACTGCAATCGCCCTATTTATGTTCCTGATGAGAGGTTTGGTTTCTGACTCAATTCGAACAACAGAAGTACACCACTACTAATGTGCTTTGGGTGATTTGCCGACAACTAGAGATGTGGAGACTCTAAAATGCATTTTTTGTGCTGTATGTAAGAGTGGAGATGTGTGCTTTACCAAATGAAAATACAGAAATTCAATCTTCAAAAACTCACGATGCATTACATGAATTAGAATGGGAATTCATTAGCCATTATAAGGCATGTAACTAATTATATTTCCTAATCGCAGCTGAGGAGAGTGATAAACTATTATTGGCAGCCAAAAAGATTAGAAGGGCAACGAGCACGGACTTTGTGGTATCTTTAGTTGCAGATGATTTTTCTCGAGCCAGCAATACATATGTTGGAAGACTAAGGCAAATCTCGCATAATACTTTGGTAGATTGATATATTTTTGAAATATTTTGTTCTAACTACATTGAAAATGTCTCAATCAGGTCTAACTTTCTGGGGACAAAGTTCACCATATATGACTGTGAACCTCCGAATGATGCTGCAGTGCACCATAATAGTAGGTCGAGTCGAAGGTTCAACACGAGGCAAGTATCTCCAAGATTACCTGCTTATAACTACAATGTAGCCACTATTTCCTACGAACTCAATGTTCTCCGCACAAGAGGTCCTAGGAGAATGAATTGTGTCATGAGTTCAATTCCGGTCTCTTCAATTCAGGAGGGAGGCACTGCCCCGACACCAACATCATTTCCACAATGTTATGATGACAAATCGTCTTCCCTACGGATTTCAGAAGGAAAGGACTCGGCCTTAAATTTCAGCTCCCGAAAACTTTCAAGTTCATCATTAACGCCACCACTTTCTGGAGAGCCACTAGTTCTAAAAAACAAAGCTCCTAGATGGCATGAACAATTGCAGTGCTGGTGCCTGAATTTCAAGGGCCGTGTTACAGTAGCTTCTGTTAAAAATTTCCAGCTTGTGGCTAATGTTGATCCATCTCTCAACATATCAGCTGCAGAACAAGAAAAGGTAATTTTACAGTTTGGAAAGATCGGAAAAGACATTTTCACCATGGATTATCGCTACCCTCTCACTGCCTTTCAAGCCTTTTTAATCTGCTTGAGCAGCTTCGACTCAAAACCAGCATGTGAATAATCTTCACATGCGTCACATAGATTATGCTCGACTTTCATTTAATCTCTTCTATAGCGGCTAAATCTTATTCCTCGCTGTACATAAAGTTTACAGTCGACATTGTATTGTATCTGGGAACCTATGCGGGTGCCAGTTTATCTATTTGCAGCTCACATAAAAACGTGCTTTGGAAGTTCCAGCCGTTAATTTACTGTACTTTGGAAGACCTTGATGTTAATCAACATGTCAGTTTCCATGTACAATATCGTAAAAGCAGTTATATATCATTCCATTTTATGCATTTTGATTTCTTTTAAGTTTGATGATCACTTGCTTATTTCGAAATAAATTTCTGAGAACAGGTTAAATATTTAACCTCGTAGCTTGAAGAGCACGTGCTTACGAATGTGCATGTATAATCGGTTTCCTTGAATTCATGTACAGTTTCAGTTTCGATATAGTTGTTTCTTGAACTCTTTCGCAATGTTAAATTACAAAATGAATGCATCTGCACTGCGATTATGTCCTTTACATTCATTTCATGGTAGTCATATGTACAGAAATTTTTTCCTACATATAAATGATAGAGGATGTAACTTTCAAGACAGGTTAATGGTTCACTGGAATATTAGGTTTTATCATGGAAGAACATTAGTTTCTGGCCAACCTAAGTTAAAGTTGGAGTCAATTAGCTCAAGCTACCCCTAATGGAAAAATAGAGTTTGGACCAACCATTCACAGAATCTGGGTCAGGCCTAAAGATTGAGCTCAGCTAATGAATGCCGTCTAGCTTGGCAATACCAATCTCACATAACTGTGTCCAACTAGCATTAGTGTGGTCCATGTGAAAAGGAAAAAAAGACTTTCATGCTGTTCTTGTCAGGTAGGGAGGATTAAGAATATCCAATTGATTAAAGCTTCTCACACCTCCTAAAAAAAGCATGAAAAAAGGACTCGAATCATATGATTCCTTAGTCACCCAAAATGAAATGGACGATCTGTGATTCTTAATGTGTAAAGATGCGTTGTTAGGTTCTCATTTCCTTTTTCATTGAGACCGAACCTAAATTTATGCTCGACGGATAATTGTCCACACAGTAATAAAGAATTTACAGATCCTCAAGAAAAGAGCAATATGGTGGTACCTAGACAGTCCAGATCCCTTTAGTGAAAGTCGGGTCTATGTTGTCACCCCAATCGCCCTATTTATGTTCCTGATGAGAGGTTTGGTTTCTGACTCAGTTCGATACACCACTACTAATGTGCTTTGGGCGATTTGCCGACAACTAGAGATGTGGAGACCTACGATAGCGTGCTTAAAAAGGCACACATTGCATGATCACAACAATCTCAAGAAAGTCTGCCCGGCAATGGTGAAGCATTCAATAGCGGAGCTAGAACTCAAATTCTAATTCTAGAACTTAATGAAGTAGAAAAGAAGCTCAGGGTTCGGAATTTTGAATTATTTTGAAATATGGGATTAGTCGAAAGATTGAGTAAACCAATGCAAAATTGGGTCCATCTTCTTTACGCACATTTGAAAAGAAAAAGTGAACAAGAAGATCCTCAAAATCTTCAGCGGTGGAAGCACTCAATCGCTAGTTTGACTTTCAAAGTTGAATCGCCAATTATCTCCCCCATGCCCGGTATCCAAGTTCATTCGCTTAGTATATACAAGGTTCTTACTATTCTTTTTAACTATTCATAAATTTGTCAAACGAAGGCTAAGTCATTGAACTTCAATTTAAGTTCAAATTTCACCACCGTATATGGTTGAATAGTTTACTATTGGAAGAAACATTAAGGCTCGAGTTGATTTTGTCGGAATATAGTGGTGTTAATAAAACCGGATTATCGAATATCATATATGTAGTTTAGATACCGATTTTAAGTATACCGTATATGCAGCTTACCGTATTTATAGGAAGCTTACTATATATGCAGTTTATTGTATTTGCTGGAAACTTACCGCATTGCACCTTACCGTATTTGACAGCTCACAGTATATGTCAGTGCAACTCACTGTATTTGGTAGCGAAACTCACCGTATATGCGTAAAATTAGCACAAACTATTTTTATTAAAATAACAAAGAAATTTTTTTTTCAATGGAAAAACAGTGTGTGTGTGTGTGTATATATACACGTGTAAATCGCTAAATAAATAAATAACTTGCAAGAATAAAGTGCAGATATGTAAATAAAATTTCAACTCGAGGCTTATGCGAGCAAAGTTTACTTGAAACATATTCGCTCCCTCACTATAAGTGCTTGAGATCTAATTCGAACATTTTTTTCCTAGGATACAACGGTAAAACCCGTAGAATCTGAGCACCACAGAAACTACTGCGGCGAACTGAGATTGTATTCGAACAATATCACCATCACGACTAGAGATTATGTATATGCAGACAGAACGAAAATATGCAGTGTGCGAGACGGAGAGATTTTTTTTCGTGTATCTGAATTGCTGAAAAATTGAGATTTAATATAACATAAATCTGTTCAATAACTCCATGGCAATAAACACTGGAGCCACTTCAGTTTCTGCTGGAGTTTTTGCAGTTTTTGGAAACTCAAAGGTCAGTTGAAGAAAACAAAAAATTGCAAAACGTGGACACTCCAAACGGGCCAATTTTTGCTCCGTTCGGTTCGACATTCGTGTACACAAGTTGAAGGTCCGAAAGCAATTTTAATTAGTGATTTGCTCCCCCTATGCGCGCACGTGGAGAGAACCTCTATGCTACACATTGTTACACCTTTCCAATGTATAATCATATTTAAAGTGGTTAATACTTTCTTCATTTTCCTATGTAGGATTATTGTTATTTTTTCACATAAACCATCTTCCAATGGTCATCTTTGAGCTCCAATTGCTCATTCATCCATTCATCAATTCTGATAAATAAATATATGGTTTCGATGCTCTCACGGAGGAGATCAATGATCAACTTTGATATTCCAAATTGAACCAACGGGTCCCACCGAAAATCTTGCCAAAAGTGAGTCATTTACTCATTTTTTTCAACAATCCCCACATGAATGAAAATTGGGAGAGACATGAGACCGTGAAACACGAGACTTGGTGACCGTGAGACACAAGACTAGGTGATAAAGTTCAACGGTTGAAATCTGCATAGGATAGGTAGGTATCACCCTTTGAACATTCCCTTGTGAAAATATATTTACTTTACTAACTGACCAGTAGACATATTGTCCTTGAACTGTTCTGCATTTATGTAAATGATGATATACTCCACACAGGATTCTTCCTAACACAATTCAGTTCTCATTATTATGTTCGTTTTGGCCATGAACATATGCCTGGTTTTGTGAGAGTTCTTAAGAATTGAGCCCCACACAATTCTCTTAGAAGCGGCCACACTTCTCTCTCACATAGGTGATTTCTTATTACAAGTAACCCGCATTACTTGACTCGATTTTCGACGCATAAGAATCATTAAAAGTCTATTACTTATCTTTTATCCTTACAGGCATCACTGTTACATCATAGGAATGGACAGGAGGAAACACCCTCACAGTGATTTTATTAAGCTTTTACAATTAGGTTATCCATTTGAACCTAAATCTTGGGATCTTCAGTCAACTAGGTTGGGTTTTCTTTGTAATGACTTATTCATTCAAGGGCTTAAGTGTCATTCTTTTCAATGATTTCCCAACTAACTCTCTATTTAACCTTTTGTTAGCAGATCTGCAATGTTATCTTTTGACCTCACGTAGTCAATAGTGATAACTCCAGTTGAGAGTAGTTGTCTTATGGTATTGTGTCTACGACATAGATGTCTAGACCTACCATTGTACATGTTACTCTGTGCCTTCCTATTGCTGATTGACTGTCACAATATATGCAAATTGCTGGCACAGACTTTGACCATTTTGGAATATCCTCTAAGAAGTTGCGCAACCATTCGGCCTCTTCACCACATTTATCTAGAGCTATAAACTCATATTTGATCGTAGATCTGGCTATAACTTTTTGCTTAGAGGATTTCCATGATATGTCAGCACCTCCCAATGTGAACACAAATCCACTGGTGGACTTTGAGTCTTTTATATCAGATATCCAATTAGCATCACTATATCCTTCAATGATCGCTGGACATCTGGTATAATGTAGTTCATAGTCACGAGTATATCTTAAATACCTTAGTACTCTTACTATTCATTTTCAGTGATCAGCTCCTGTATTACTTGTGTATCTACTTAGTTTATTGACTGTGTAGGCTATATCTGATCTTGTACAACTCATCAAGTACATTAAACTTTCAATAACTCTCGAGTATTCTACTTGAGAGACACTTTCACCTTTATTTTTAGATAGGTGTTGACTTATATTTATTGGTGCTCTAGTCAAGCCAATATCATCCTTATTAAACTTTTCCAAAATTTTGTCCACATAATGTGACTGACTTAGAACAAGCACATCTGATGTTCTTGAGATTTTTATTATAAGTGTAACATCAACTAAATCCATATCTTTCATGTCAAACCTCGAATTCAACATATTTTTAGTGGATTCAATCATCTTATTGTCACTGCCAACAATAAGTATGTCGTCAACGCAAAGACATAAAATGACATAACAATCTTTAGTGTTTTTGACTTAAACACATTTGTCATATTCATTGATTTTAAATCCACTCTCTATCATGACATTATCAAAATTTTCATACCATTGTTTGGGTGTTTGTTTCAAGTCATATAGTGATTTCACCAATTTACAAACTTTCTTTTCCTACCCTGGTGACGAAAACCTCTCGGGTTGTTCCATATAAATTTCTTTTTTTAAATCTCCATTTAGAAAGACAGTTTTAACATCCATTTAATATACTTCAAAATTTCACAAAGCGGCAATCGCAAGTATCAACCTAATAGATGTTATTCTCGTCATTGGAGAATACGTATCAAAGTAATCAAGGTCTTTTCTTTGTTTGTAACCTTTTATTGCTAATCTGGCCTTATACTTTTCGATAGTTTCATCTGCTCTCATTTTCCTTTTGAAAATCCATTTATATCCTAGTGGTTTGCTTCCTGGAGGAAGATCCACCAACTCCTACGTATGATTCTGCAGTATGAAATTTATCTCACTTTTAATGGCCTCCTTCCATTGAGGTCCTTCCGAGAAATTCACAACCTCTTGATAACTTTGAGGTTCACTTTCTAGCATATAGGTCAGAAAATAAGGACCATAAGATTTTTCTGTCATTTCCCGTTTGCTAGATCAAACCTCAGTCTCCTCTTCTAGCTCTTCTTCATGATTATTTTCAGTCATAGTCTCATAT